TAAAACCCTTAACCAATGAGCAGGCTGCATATCAAAAGACACTTTATTAGGCACACCTTGCTAGTGCCAAGAAAATCTCCCCCACACCATGACACCACCAGCACCAGCCTGAACCGTTGATACAAGGCAGGATGGATCCACCTCACCATGACACCACCACCACCAGCCTGAACCGTTGATACAAGGCAGGATGGATCCCCCACACCATGACACCACCACCACCAGCCTGAACCGTTGATACAAGGCAGGATGGATCCCCCACACCATGACACCACCACCACCAGCCTGAACCGTTGATACAAGGCAGGATGGATCCATGCTTTCATGTTGTTTACGCAAAATTCTGACCCTACAATCTGAATGTTGCAGCTGAAATCCAGACTCATCAGACCAGGCAATGTTTTGCCAATCTTCTATTGTCCAATGCTGGTGATCCTGTGCAAATTGTAGCCTCTGTTTCCTGTTCTTAGCTGACAGGAGTGGCACCCTGTGTGGTCTTCTGCTGCTGTAGCCCATCTGCTTCAAGGCTGGACATGTTGTGCATTCAAAGATGGTATTCTGCACACCTTGGGTGTAACGAGGGGTTATTGGAGTTACTGTTGCCTTTCTATCATCTGGAACCAGTCTGCCCATTCTCCTCTGACCTCAAGAAGGCATTGTCCTCCACACAACTGCCGCTCACTGGATATTTTCTTTTTTTCAGACCATTCTCTGTAAAACCTAGAGATGGTTGTGTGGGAAAATCAGAATATCAGAGTGCGGACAAAAGGGGATTTAAATTACTTTGAATGTGGCATGGTTGTTGGTGCCAGACGGGTTGATCTGAGTATTTCAAAAACTGGTGATCTCCTAGATTGTAAGCTCTAACGAGCCGGGCCCTCTGTTTCCTCTTGTACCACATTGTATTGTAACTGTACTGTCTGCCTTCATTTTGTAAAGCGTTGCGCTAACTGTTGGCGCTATATAAATCCTGTATAATAATAATAATACTGGGATTTTCCCGCACAACCATCTCTAGACGTTCCAGAGAATGGTCCAAAAAAGAGAAAATATCCAGTGAGCGGCAGTTTTGCGGAGGAAAATGCTTTGTTGATGTCAGAGGAGAATGGGCAGACTGGTTCCAGATGATAGAAAGGCAACAGGAACTCCAATAACCCCTCGTTACAACCAAGGTATGCCATCTCTGAACGCACAACACATCCAACCTTGAAGCAGATGGGCTACAGCAGCAGGAGACCACACCAGGTGCCACTCCTTGTCAAGGATCACCCTGCATGGGTCCCCCCACACGCCACGCCACGCCCACAGCAACTAATTACAATAAAATTAAAAGGGAATAAAAAGACAGAATAAAACTTTACCCTGCAACTGGAGCAAGCCAGAAACTTAGCTAACCATTGGTCAATCGAACCAGCTCCGTACGGATCACCAATGTCCAAATGCCCGTGGCTCAATTTATTGGGATTTGGACATATTAGTCTTCGGCCAATTGACCCTGGGGGAGGTGGTCCTGACCTGCCCACAAGAGGTACTGTGTATGGACCTGCCCAAGTTCAATTGGGCCAAGACTGGCCTGAACACCAAGTCGGGGATTGGATTTCCGACACCAGCGCGTCAGCCCGATCGCAACAGTACCAAACACCATCCGACTGTCGCAATGCAACGCCACTTAACCATTCCATGCATTTTCCTGGCTTTCTCCCCAAGCCACAAATATGATTTTCATATGCAAATGCAGCGCACAGAATGGCCTACAAGAAGGGAGTATGTTCATATCTCTGCAACTCAGATTTTATGAGAGATGAAACATACTTCTTTGATGTGAATATTATCTATAGAGCTTTCCACACCAGGCAGACAGTCTGTCTGCTGTCATTCACTCCAAACTGGTTTTCCCAGAAAGTGATAACCTGATTGGCACACAAAAGGTGTCACCTCCAGGAGGCGGGGGCTTTAGACTGATTAAGGCTAATTGATGCTAAATGATGATTGGGTCTGTAAGGCCTATGGAGTAATTGTGTATAATACACATCTGTATCCCAGATCCATGGATGACCATTGTTTGTCTATTCATTTCCCTACTGCCCAGGGGCTCAATATACATCCCTAATGACCAGACTGTTCCTGAACACACCTTTGTAATGAAAGGGCGTGGCCTCATCTCATCTACTCAACCTGTTATGGCTATGATTCCATATTTCCACTCAAATCTTACATGTCCGTTACAATAAATTTTACATGTCCAAATGTCAGGGAATGGGAAGATCGCTGCAGCGATCGAATCCGCACATGCGTAGAATCCTGACAAAATGTACAGGCTGGCGGGCACTAGGACCCAGGCGCGCCTGTCACCAATGACGGCGCTGGGCAAGCACTAGGTCCCAGGAGCGCCTGTCAGGAGTCGGGCGGGCTATTTACACCCAGCTCTTGCAAAGCTCAAGTGCCGTATGGTCTTTCTTGTGTTCATGTGAGTTTACTTTGCTGCTGACCCTGCCTGATCCTGATCTGACTTTTCCTGCTCTGACCCCTGGCTTGCCTGACCATTCTCCTGCCTGCTCCTGCACTTTTGATCTCCTGTTGCCAAACCCAGACTGTGACCCGTTTATTCTTCTGCCTGCCGTTTTGTACCGACCTGCTCCGCTGTTACCGACCCGGCCTGTCTGACCTCGCTTACTCTACCTCCTCACATCAGACTCTCACCTGCTGCATACCACCGACAGGTGCCTCTACCACAGCTGGTTGCACCCAGGGCCCCGACCTGGTCTCGGCTTGCTCCAAGTCCATCCCCACCATCAGGGGCTCTGGTGAACAAGCAGGTCGGAACTTAGATTCCGCACCCTGGGGAATTCTGGTCTGTGGAACGCTAGAGGCTACCACCGGCTGGTCCATAACACCATTACATCTGCCCTCTTCTACATGATGCATAGTTGAGCCTAAACGGGTCGGCTATGGAACGCGTCTACATGGAAGGTTCCCTAGGTTGGGGGGCGGGGGGGGGGGAGTTCTCCCAACTAAAGTTTGACACCGCTGACAGCTCAGCCCGTCCCCCTGCCGATGGGGAAGGGCTTCTGCCCAGCTCTCTGACTGATCCCAAAGGGTTTGGGTCACCACTGGCCAGCAGATCCCCCCCTGCGGATCCATTTCATCTGCTGGCCACCGACTATCAACTGGACGGGTACTGGCAAACCTGTCATTGTGCGCTGTCAACATTTTCAGCCACTGGCCAGGGTCATCTGGTGGTTCTCCATTGGCTGCCACACCTAGATGCCTGAGCCTGACATAAGGTCGTTCCTGGGTGATCTGGACATGGTTCCATGGCTTGGATACCAGAACCTCCACCCTTGGACCTGTCTCCCACACTTCTGCTCTTTCTGCTTCAGCCAGAGACTGGTCAGCACAACCCCTGAGTTCCTCCAGGCTGACATCAAACCTATCAGCCAGTGAGAATACAGGGTTGTCAGATACAGCCTCTGAGAAAGCAGATTCAGAGGGGGTCAGTGTTCCCCCATCATCCTGTGATCCTCCCTTTGCTGTGCACAGCAATGAGTCCTCAATCATGATACTCATAGCTGTGGGGACAAAGGATAGATCCACAGAAGACTTTATTCCACCCGGGGTCATCCTCTGACCCGTCCCACACCCTTCTACTCTGTCCTCCTCAGCAGAACATCTGTCAGCACCACCCCTGAGCTCCTCCGGGCCAACCTCAAACCTATGAGCCTGGAAGGACTCAGTGATGTCAGCTGCTGAGGTGGAAGACACTGATTGGGCTGAATTTGCCCCAACATCCTGCAGACTTCCTTCTGCAACACACAGAAATGAGTCTGCACTGGCAGTACCCGCGACTGTGGTGACAGAGGGGAAAATGACAGGAGAAAGGATTTCACTAGAGGTTGTCCTCTGACCCCCATCACACACTTCTACCCCGTCCTCAACAGAGCGGCTGTCGGCACACCCAAGTTCCTCTGGGCTGGCATCAGATGTAACAGCCTCTGGAAACTCGGTGCCATCAGCCACAGCTACTGAGGGGGTAGAGTCAGATTGAGTCAGATTTAAACCCTCACCCTGTGGTCCCTCCTCTGTGCTCCACAGCCCAGGATCCAAAATGACATGACTGGTATCTCTGGGGACAGGGGAGCAGACAACAGAAAACTTCATCCCACAAGGGGATAGAGGCACCCAACACTGTTCTCTACCAGGACTTACTGAAACACAATGTGCCTTTTCCCCGGGAACTTCAGAAGAACACTCTGTTTCTTCACATATGGGTACAAAACCAAATTCATTTTGCCCATACACCCCCATCCTGCTATCCACCGCTGGCGGTCCATCAGCCAGACCCCTGAGATCCTCTGGGCTGCTATCAATTCTCACAGCTCCAGGGGACTCAGAGCTATCTGCCACAGGTGCCAGGGGGACAACAGTCTGAGGACACCTTAGGCCCTCTGAGCCAGGTTCGCAAGGGTCCAACCCAGCTGGATTGGGGCCTTCCACAGACAGTCCCTCTGTAGCAGTGGGCAATGACTGGTCCGGGGCCACCTGGTGGGCACCCTGAGTCACCACTGCAGCAGAGGGAAGGTCTGTCTTGCACATGTCATTACATTTGGCATCACATAAAACATTATCAGTTGCAGAGTCCTCTGTGGTTTTAAACTCTTCTCCAGGCCTGGACTCCAGACATCCGCTAGAGCCAGGCCCTGGTACACAGTCCTTCACCCCCTGACCCTCCCCAGAATTCCCAGTGTGCACTGAGTCACTCAACAGTACATTACGTGAATCCGAGGCCTCGGGTGGAAATGTAGACTTCAGGGGTGTTGACTTAGACTTGTTCTGGGTTACCAACCGCCCCAGGTCAGTACCCGATAGTATGTTAGTGGTGTCTGCTATTCCTACTTCTCTCACTTTGCTTCTGGATCCTTGGGGCAAAGCAACACAAGCTGCTGGTAGTACAGGGGTGATTCCTCCAACCCCTATGATAACTGTGGCTTTCTTTGGGACCACATCCTCACGACTCTTCCATCCAGGAAGGGCTAGGACATTTTCGGGTCCCTTGTCACGGAGTCCAACTGAAATATTGTTGCCTGCGGTAACTGGCTGCAGGCTATCCACATTGCCTCCTTCATTAGTGGGATCTGCTCTGCCCACTTCTTCCACTTGACTTCCAGACTCCTGGCTCAAAGAAACACAAGCCATAGGCACAGCAGGGATGGCTCCTCCACCCCCTGTGCCAGCCATGGCCTCCACTGGGATCACATCCTCACAGCTCCTCAATCCTGGACGAGCTAGGACATTCTCTGATCCTGTACCTTGTAGTCCAACTGTAACGCTGTTACTTGCAGCAAATGGTGGCCGGATATCCGCTCGGCCTCCTCCATTTTCTCCAACAAGAAACACAGTAGGGGGTACATTTTCCACTTTTGTTGCTGGGCTAGATACCCTCAGGTTTGGACAGGAGTAATGTCCCACTTGGTTACAGGTAACACCTTTCCAGGTCTACTTAAATGTAGGTCTGGCCCTTGTAGTTCTTGATGCAGATGGAGCTAACAATGCATTACCCTGCTGGATTTGGACCCTCTCGGCTTTGTGCCTTCTCTCAGTTCGCTCCATCCGCTGCTGGTACTTTCTCTCAAGTTGTAGTAACTCCGAAATGAGCTGAAACTGCAACTCGAGGTTATCACTTGCCAAAAGCTGTAGGTTTGTTCCCAGAGAAAGATCCTCTGATTTCTTGTACCGAGAGAGTTTGAGAACAGAGTCACACTGATTCTCACAGTCATCTGGAGTGGCACAGTTGCAGGATTTCACCGACATGGTGCGCTGTTCTAACTCCATCTCTATCAAAGCACCTAGGAGCTGGTACCTCGTCTGGCCAACTGTATTGATGTCCTCTAGATCACAGAGCTCAATCACAGCCTCATCGGATTGTCTCAGGTACCAGCGTATTAACATATCTTCCGGTTACCATCTGTGTTACCAAAATAAAAGATAGAAAAGAAAAACAAAGAAGGGGGGGAGCAAATAGCCAAGTATGTCTTCTACAAAACAAACATTATGCACTGAGTGAGCTTCTGTAGGTCAGTCACTTCCACCGAGCTTCCGACCTTCAGTACACGGGGTACATGAATAAACCACTAATGTACTAAGCAGATCCCACCGCTGCCGCCAATCTGTCATGGATTTCCCTGTCACGAGTCCCCCACACGCCACGCCCACAGCGACTAGCTAACCAAGGCACGCACATGCGGCCATGACAGGGGTGTAAAGAGGGGGAATAAAGGGGACTTACACTTGAATATCTCAAACCGTATATAAAATCAGCCACGATACCGTTCACAGCCCGCACTACCTCTGACCACCACCGGAGGGAGACTCCAATCCAGCTAGCTGACCACACACACTGGCAGATACGATCTTACATACAACCTGGTGCAAGGATTAGAGTCTAGGACCAGCTTAGTAACTACCCCCTTCTAAGATTCCTCCAGCTATCCTACAGCTGAGTGTCATTAGAAGGAAGTGGGCGTGGTGCTGCTCAGACAGTGTGTGGTGTGTGAGGTCCTGCTAGGCCTCAAACGAAGCCAGGGACTAAATTTCTGGCACTACCCAGGAGAGGATGGCGGAGCCCGGCCATGATCCAGGAGGAGGAGGAGGAGGGACCCCTGGGGCTCCTAGTACTGGTCCTGACATGCCAGCTATTGAGGACCTGGGAAAAGGCCCTAAAGGAGGGGAATCGTACGCGGCTTATCGGGGCCGTGTGGCCCCCCATGTGGCAAGGATCGGGAAGGAGGAAGACAAGCTGGTCAGAATGAGGAATGACCTCCGGAAGTTCCAGTCATCGTATGATGGAGTGTGGAGCACAAAGCGGCAGTCTATGA